CTCGAGTCCGTCGATCTCGGCACGAGTGTATCGAGTTACACACACACACACACACAAACACACACACACACACACACAAGGAGTATACCGACCAATCTAGAACGGAAGGTATAGTGCAATCTTGGCCGGAGTTCCAGCCCGCTCACCCTCCTCGCCCGAGGCGGAGGCCTGCCGGGCTTTGTGATGTACACACACACACACACACACACACCCATCTTATCCGTAAACTACACACCCTCCCGGAGGCGTTTAGTTGTACTGCGAAGATCAGTTCTACACTTTTGCTGCCCCGCTTACAGTCCCACTGTCGCATCAAGTCTTGGAAACATGATCTCTATTCGGTCAAGGCGAACCTGTTGCTAGACTCGATGACACTTGCAATCGCACGCCGCCGAACCGGCACATACAAGCCTAAAACCAGAGAGATCAGACCCCGGAACCACGTGGCTGATCTGCTTGTCCCGGTTGCGGGGCCCACGGCTGAGCCAGAAAGTACAGGCCCCGGACGCGAATTCCGGCCTGGCCAGGTTGCAGAGGCGCGAGCCGGACTCAAATTGTTGGCCGTCCAAACCTCGAGGCGGGTGTGCGTGTATGAGTGTTGAGGTGAGGCCATGGCAACTGCGAAATTACGATCGCAGACCGACCGGCGTTGCATCTTGCGCCCGTCTCGCATATAACACCTACCCCGAGTGTGTGAAGACGCGAGTTTACGCGAGTCCCCGAGGTGGGAAAGTTTTGCAGGCCCCTCGAGCGCCTCAGAGCCAGTGTGAAGAGCAGGTGGGACAAAATATGAGAATGGGATGGCAACACTAGACTCGAGTGTCACACGGTAAACCCCGCCAACTGACTGTTAGTTGTTCGGGTCAATCGAGACTTGTTGCTTCGTCGGCCATCTTAGCAACCGATGGTAGCTCTAGTTTTGTTGCCTTCACACACACCCACACACACACACACATATATATATATATATATATATATGCTTAAGTGTACACATGTACAAATACATAAACACACATGCACACACACACACACATTCAGTCTTGGTGTCTAACAGAGGTTGAGATCACCTTCAGTTGAGATAATGAGGCAGAACAAGTAAAGCGACATGTATTGCATGTGAATGCACATTATATTGTCTTTGTGTTCGCCTCTTGTCGATCTCTGAGTCTGGAATTGGGTACCAGACGAGGACGGGATGCCCATTTGTTTGAGCTAATGGCGGTAGAGAGACAGACTATCGAGAAGCCTTGTTTTAAGGCGAAAAAGACATCACTCTACCCATCGACTGCCGTTTATGGTTCATGATAGTGGCTTATTTGGCCCAAATGCAAGTCCATGGTTGCCCAGACGACAAAGTTCCTAGTCTGGCCGGTTTAGTAAATCGAGTTCTGTGTCTGAGTCCTCCTGCGAGGGGATGATAAGGCCTGGTTGGTGACGAAATGGCGATAGAGACTGGATAAGAATCCTTTTGGGGAGGCAAAATGCAGGATGAAATCCTGGCAAACTCGAGCTCAATGCATTCTTTGCTGCCTTTGTGGAGGATTTCAGCCGGTTGAGAAGGCTCATAGTTAATTAAGGATTTCTGTACCACTCTGCTACATTGAGCTCACCTATTAAGAGGGTCAATCAAGTGCAGATTGGATCTTCATGAATAGGAGGGCATCATGTGAGCAACATGTGAGCATGCCTGTTCTTAACGAAAACTAAAGCTGGCCACAATTTATTCCCAAATAAGAGTCGTTTACTTTTCATTCAATCTGTCAAGCCGTCGTAGGAAGACTTGCAGGAATCATGTTGTCAAATGCAATTTCGTTGTCATTTTTCCTCTCCCGCTGAAGATTGGCCAGAAAGTCTGACAAAATCGCATGTCTTCGATGCCATTAGATATCGAGACATTTCTCAAATACGAAATTAGAGAGAAACGGATTAAACCGGTTACAATCATAATAATTTCAATATTTTTCGTTTATAAGTAGTGTTTCGGGATGAGGTGTATTCACCCCATTTCGCGTAGGGTGATGAAGGACTGGTTTTTGAATTTCCCCACAATGCTGTGAGTAGAGCTGACGTTTCCATGGAATTTCACAGAGCCTTAATTTCCCAAAAGATGTTCTCATCCAGGGCGGACTTCAGTTTCGACCTCGCATCGGTCTTATTAACACCCCAGCGGGAGTCGAATCGTGACAGTATCGAATGGGAGCTTGACACGTTAACCACTCAACCACATTGTCATGAGTGTCCTTGGATCACAGAGCAGATATGGTGGTATTGCCGATGAAGCAAAGTTATATTTGCTATCATAATCGAATAAATTACCTATTTTTTGTTTATAAGTAGCGTTCCCAGACTACTCAGTTAATCAATTAAAATGAAATGTATTCTCCCTATTTCATCTTCATGACCTTAAACGAAATAGGGTCAACGTATCACCACTTGGGATGGTGTAAACGATAAAAGCCATCCGAAGAGAGCGCGCAACAACCACACACAGTTGTCCGTCTGTCTGAACTGAGGTCTGCCTGTCTGGCACCAGCAGAAGGATTATCGTATCAGTTGTCTCGCCGTGAAGATGAGCTTTTTGGTGACATGGAAAGATGAATGACCTTCATCATTTAACTGACTTACTGGTAGTCTCGAGCACATGCTAATAGACGTGAACTAAGTAATGTAGTAGATTACCATAACAAATATAAGTTCGCCTCGTCTGTGACCAAAGGGCACTCGTGGCATGGTGGCGAGGTGGTCAACACGTCCAAATTACACTCTACATTGTCATGTTTCGACTCCCGCTGGGGGTGTTGGTAAGACATACGCGCTGGATGCCAACATCTTTTGGGAAAAGAAGGCTAAGTGAGGCCCTACTCGTATCATCAGCATAAACGAAATAGACTGAATATACGTTCTTGTGCCCAACTTTGAGGTGTTGATGAGGCCAATTCACGAATGCCTTCCAACAACTTTTGCCTCGAAATGAAGTCTACCCTTTTTCATATTCACCCAAAAAACAGCTTAAGCCTCCGGGTTCGAGTCTCGCCGGTGGCTCTGTGCGAACGAAAGAGCAACTTTTGTAAACAATCTACAGCACCTAGTCCGGGGTCCATTGTCTGCATGATCCTTTCCAAAGTTGAACCGTGGACGTGGAACATTCCCA